GTTACCATTGAGTCAATTCCAATTCACGGCAATCTCATGTGTTGCAGAGTAGAACTGCACTCCATAGGGTTTTCAAGGTTGTGACCTTTTGGAAGTAGACCACCAGGCCTTTCTTCCAAAGCATCTCTGGGTGGGTTCAAACCGCCAACCTTTCAGTCAGTAGTCGAGCGCTTAACCACAAACACCATACACCAGCCCCCTAATGGCCCTGAAACTAGTGTTGTTTGTGTCAGAAGGTGCCAATTTTTGAAGATAAAGGAACAAAAGCCTCTTGTTATCAGACTTGGTTTAACAAAACCAAAACTAAAAACATTGTCTACAGTATAAATAACTAACATCAATTCATTATCAAAAATTGTAGTGGGTCTTTCTATATTATATCACAACAGGATAAAAATTATCTGGGATCTCTCAGTGTTGCTTTATAAAATAAGAACTTGAGGTCTACATATAGTTAAATCCTTTTACTATCTTTGAAAAGCTCAAGAAGCCAGCACTTATAATGCAATTAGAACCACACACAAATCCAAACATGAAGGCTTGCTAATATTAGTGCCTTAAATGTGTGCAGCTCTTTGCCATTCATAATAAATGTTTGCAGACAGTATTCTATTTTAGCCTCCTAGGAGCTCCATGAGATATCACCAATATTCTCATTTTACACATGATGAAGTTGAAGATGCTAAACATCTTGCCTAAGATCACACAGTGCATGGTCTCTCCTCTGGATACTGCTCTCTCTCTCCAAAATCAGGAAAAAAAAGAAAAAAAAAGGATTCCACTTACACCCAGGTGTACTATACAACCCATGCTTTTCTGAGTAATACAGTGTAATCAGGTATTGTTCATTTATGAATGCTGAATGCCATGGCCTCTCCATGTTCTACAGCAATGGTTCTTAACCTTTACATTGTCATGGAGACCCCTCTGTGAAATCTAATGAAAGCTAAGGAATCCACACCCCATAAAAATGCACATAGATGAATGTTCATAGTAGAATTATTCATAATAGCGAAAGAATAGAAACCACCCAAATGTCCATCATCTGATGAATGGATAAACAAACGTCTTATACTTATAAAACGGAATATCATTAAGCTATAAAAAGGAATGAAATACTGATAGGTGTTACAACATGGATTAACCTTGAAAACATTGTTAAATGAAAGAAGCCACAAAAGACTATAATTGTATGATTCCATTTATATGAAATGTCCAGAACAGGCAAATCCAAGAGACAAAAAGTAGATTAGTGGTTGCCTAGGGCTTTGGGGAGGCTGGGGGGGAAATGGGGAATGGCTGCTAATGGGTATGGGGTTTCTTGCTGAGGTGACGAAAATATTCTAAAATTTATTGCAGTGATGGTTACACAGCTGTGAATATACCTAAAACCACTGAACTGTACACTTCAAATGAGTGACCTGTATGATAGGTGAATTATATCTCAATAAAGATGCCATTAAAAATCAACCATTAAAAGAATGCTCATACAGGTGATGGTTGCACAACACAGTGAATGTAATTCATGTCACTGAATTGTATACCTAAAAATGGTTAAAACGGCATATTTTGTTATATATATTTTACTGCAATAAATCTTTTTAAATGCATATACAAATAACATTTCCCAGATAATTTCTGAGGGTTCACTGAAGCCCTGAAGCCCATCTACAGGTGCAGTGGGGTCCAAGACCTAAGGTTAGGAACTCCCGCTCTGTAGAAACAAAAATCATCGTTCTATTTTCTTTGTTTTACAGATAAGTTTTATTTCAGCTGCCCTCACCACAAACCCTATGGTGCAGTTCTACTCTGTCCTACAGGGTCACTATGAGTTGGAATCAACTTGACGGCAATGGGCCCTCACCACAATTAGCAAGTCTATGCCTATTTTTTTTTTTTTTTTTGAGTGAAGCCTATTTTTTTTTCTCTTCTATTTTTTTTTATTGTACTTCAGGTGAAGGTTTACAGAACAAATAGTTTCTCATTAAACAGTAGTACACATATTGTTTTATGACATTGGTTAACAACCCCATGACATGTCAACCCTCTCCCTTCTTGACCTTTTTTTTTTTTTTTAGTGAAAATATACATAGCCAAAGATACACAATTTCAAAAATTTCTACATGTACAGTTCAGTGACATCGAGTATGCTCTTCCAGTTGTGCTGCTATTCTCACATTAGATGAAGGTTTACAGAACAAAATAGTCTCATTAAACAGTTAGTACACATGTTGCCCTATGACAATGGTTAACAATCCCACTACACGTCAACACTGTCCTTACTCAACCTTGGGTTCCCTATTACCAGCTTTCCTGTCCCCTTCTGCCTTCTAGTCCTTGCCCCTGGACTGCTGTGCCTCATTAGTCCCGTTTTGTTTTATGGGGCTGTCCAATCCCTGGCTCAGCTGTGAACCTCGGAAGTGACTTCACCACTGAGCTAAAAGGGTGTCTGGGGGCCATAGTCTCGGGGTTTCTACAGTCTCTTTCAGGCCAGTACATCTGGTCTTTTTTGTGTGTGTTAGAATTTTGTTCTACATCCTTCTCCAGCTCTGTCCAGAACCCTCTGTTGTGATCCCAGTCAGAGCAGTCAGTGGTGGTAGCCAGGCACCATCTAGCTATACTGGACTCAATCTGGTGGAGGCCTGGGTAGCTGTGTTCCATTAGTCCTTTGGACTAATCTTTTCCTTGTATCCTGTTCTCTTCATTCTCCCTTGCTCCCGAAGGCGTGAGACCAGTGGAGTATCTTAGATGGCTGCTTACAGGCTTTTAAGACCCCAGACTCTATGCCTATTTTTTAAAATGACATTTTATTGTATTTTCAGTGAAAGTTTTCATAGAAGTTTAATTTCCCATTCAACAATTTCTATACAAATTGTTCAATGACATTGGTTACATTCTTCACAATGTGTAAACATTCTCCTATTTTTTAAAGGTCACTACTTCATCTATTAGCACACATGACCCCAGTAGTTTTCAATATTGATTGATTAAAAATATTAATAACTATCTATATGGGATCAAATTGACAACAGCAACTCAGAAGATTAGATAGGAAGTACAGGGGGCAGTAAGTTATGTTAATTGGAGAACAACAATTCATAAAAGGAAGGTGAGAACGACACTGTAATCAATGTCTCTGAATTGTAACTGTAGAAATTATTGAATCGGTGTATGTTCTGCTGTGTATATTCTCAACAACAAAATAAAATAAATTACAGAAAATGTTAAATAGTATAGTTCATAAATATATTTTTAACAGCTAGGAAGTCTTAGTAACTGAGCATCGATTATTCACAAGGCATGGTTGAAATTCAAACATGTAAAAAATGCAGTTTCTGCCCTCAGGAGCTTAAAATCTAATAGAGGAGATAAGATAGGTACACAAATAACAGTTTACAAAATAGAAGGTGAATCTTGCCTTTAAAAGGCCAGGAAAATCAGCAGGGAAGAACGATTAAAGAAAACTTCTTGGCAGAAGTGGACTTTTAATGCTGGGTTTGATCTTGAAAACTAGGTAGGATCTGAACCTGCAGTGAGGGAGTAGAAGGAAATTCCAGACGAGAGCAGAAGCAGGATGTTTCAGAATGGTTCCTGGGAACCATAAGGAGGGGTTATCATATCAAGGTAAGGATCCTGGACTTATTTGTAGATTGTGAGGAGCCAAAGAAGGCTGCTGAGCAGGGCAGTTACCTAATCAAAACCATATATTAGGAAGCCTATGCAGTAATGTGTGAATGCATGTGGAAAAGAAAAAGACTGGAGGCAGGGAAACAAATTAGGAGCATATTACAACAGTCCAAAGAAAAAATTACTAGAGTCTGATATACGAAGTAGTATCCTGACATTCAGTAGCCACTTTTAAAGGATCAAGGCATGCTCTCCACTGAAAAATAGTTGTTTTGACATGCTGTTACCCGTTGCTGTCGAGTCGATTTTGACTCATAGCGACCCTATAGGACAGAGTATGACATGCTGTAGCTATTCACTTAAAGTGTTGCCAATAAGGATATCAGGCGTAGTTAACCACGAAAAATATTTTTCCTTGAGAAAACCCACCTACAACATGGGTTTAGAAACCTCCTCAAAATAGAACATGAAGTTTTGGCCACACTGGTTGTGCGATTAGGAGGGACCAAAGACTCCTTTAGGCTCCTTTTGCTCCTCTAATTATAAACATTTGATGTTCTATATAAGTTTACAGTTAAACAATCTGGACAAGAGCACGTTCATGTGACCAAGTAAACCTGAACTCCAAGACTAAAAGACCTTAGACAAAATGACGTATTTGCAGTAGCAGACATTAAAGGGCCAGAGTATCTGTTGACTACAATAGTATGTCTGACGTTGCTTTAACCCCATTTGTGAGCCTGAGGTGATTGGAGGCATAAGATAACCACTTCCGGGTTGTGCTCGGGCAAACGGTTAAGCGCCGAAAGGTTGGTGTTAGAAGTCACCCAGAGGCGCCTAGGAAGTCAGGTCTGGCGATCTGCTTCCGAAAGGTCACAGCCTTGAAAACCATATGGCGCAGTTCTACTCTGCACACATGAGGTCCCATGAATCGGAATCCACTAGAGAACAACTAACAACAAAGGCTGAGGATTCGTCATCTTTCAGAAATGGAAGAGGAGGCCGATGGCTTCCTAAGAGGCTTCCTCCCTACACAGAGATGTTAAACACAGAGACTAGGGACAGAGAGGCTTAGAGGCCTGAGTCACATAACCCCCCACACCCACCCAAAGAAAAGGCCCAACCACCCTGCCCCAATCTCCCAAGACTGTTTGCCAAGACCTAAGCCAAGGCCAAAAAATACTACCCCTTAGCAGCTCGGCTGCTAATAAAAGGCCGGCAATTAAAATCCACCAGCAGCTCCTTGGAACCCTATGGGGCAGTTCTACTCGGTCCTATAGGGTCGCTATGAGTCGAAATCGACTCGACTTCTAATCCCCGCCCACCCCTGCGAGTCTCTCCACCTCCCTTTCCCCTTCCGCTCTTATGCTCACTTGTCCCGGATGATAGTCTGCAGCTCCCGGATCTGATCATTCATAGGCAGCAGCTTAAGCTGCGCCCCCATCTGCCGGGAGAGTTCGCAGTCCCCTAGGAGGGTGTCGCCGGCTAGTGCGTCATAGTTGCCACTGTCACCGTTGCTCTCCGAGTTGAGGCTGGCGCCGCCACAGGCCTGGGGGCCCCGCTCAGCTGGTACACTGGAAGGGGTGTGCCTTGTGAAAAGAGCCAGCTTGGTCATGGAGGCGCTGTTTCCCCCGGCATAGTCCAGGATCGGGTCATCAGGGGTCGGTGGCTCGGGGCTTGGGGTAGAGGCAGAATTTACTTGCTGATTGTGACAGGGCATGGAGTCTGGAAAACGTAACTCCGTAGCCATACACTGAGCCCGGGCTGTCCCCGCTGCTATCGACCCCTAAGGATAAAGGAGAGCAGAGAGAAGTGGCTGATGCTACCTACACGTGCCCCCTCCCCACTTCCGGTCGCTACCACCTCCTCGGAATCTAACCCTGGAAGCCGTCTCACGCTTAGGCCGAGGTCAGTTCCTTTCCGCACGCTTTGTCCCACGCCCGCCCACACCAGACGTATTGCCTGCCTCAGCAATCTATTGGCTTCTCTCTCCGCTACTCCGCGGAGCACTGCTTGTTAACCCTTTGAGTCACTCCCGCTGTGTGGCTTCCTCTATCTTGCCAGGCAGATCCGGCAAGGCCAAGGGTGCTTGGTTGCGGGGTTTCAGGCCAGGAAAAATTGTTACACGCGTAAGGCCCATGTTTTTAGACTTTGTGTCTTGGCAAACTGCATCTTCAGTTAGCTTGTCTGTGTAACTGAAACCCATTTCCACCACGTCGTTTCAGACTCATAGTGACCCTGTAGGACAGAGTGGTACTGCCCCATAGGGTTTCCAAGGAGCGGCTGGTGGATTGGAACTGCTGACCTTTTGGTTAGCAGCCGAACTCTTGACCACTGCCCCAAAATGCATAGCAGGCTGCTAAAGAGCTGCAGCTTCCCAAATACGCTTCAGCGCTAGAGTTTTTCTTAATATTTATTAGTTGGGCCCTACAGCATACACGTTACTATGGAGATTCTGGCAGCATTTCAGATCCACTACCACTTTGTTTCTTTTAAATACTTGAAAAGACACTTTTATTATTGTATGGAGGCCTGAGGTAAGAGCATCTAGAGCAGTGTTTTTCAAACATCAGTGAATCACAAATTACAGAACTTGTTAAAATGCAGTGTCATGGCCCACTGTTGAGATTTTGATTCAGTATATCTGAGATGAGATCCAAGAATCTTTATTTTTAACAAGACCCAGAAATTCTGATAAAAATATTATTCTTTGAAAAACAGTGGTTTGCAGGACCCTTTTTAAAGAGCTATAAACTGAAAGTCAGGAAACTTGCTAATTCTGCCAAAAAATTATTGAACGATATTTGACAAGTCCCTTCCACCTTCTGGATTTGACTTTCCCCATCTATAGAGTGAGGCAGGTTAAATATTTGACCTTAAATGTTCTTCGAATTTTGACAACATTCTATAATTCTATTTTCCCTTTCAAAAAACCAATTCGTAAATTTCCTTCTTCCACACAGGAACATAACCAACACATGCAGAGATTCAGAAAAATATGAGTAACAGATAATAGGAAACTGTTTTCCATTTTTGTTTGTATATTTGTTGTGTTGGTTTGTGGTATTTTTCTACTCCCCCCCCGCCATGCCTTTGTGCCTGACCCTCCAGGTCAGTGTACTACTAAGTGTAGTTATAAAATACAGAGTTTAAATTTGATTGGGTGATAAGAATTGCAGCCCAGGATTACAATCCCACCCACTTTTGAAAGCCTCTGCATTTTTTAACCTAGCAAAAAATGTGGTTCAAAAGGTCTCTGAGTTTAAAAGCTGCATCTGTTAACTTGAAGTGGACAGGAAAAATCAAATGGCTACTCTGCCAGTGAATATTCTAAGGGAAAACACAAATACAGTATTGTATTATTATCAGCAATTTAAATAAAGTAATGAACTTTAAATGGTATTGTGAGACATCCCAGGACTGAAACTGTTCTGTAGTCATCTTTGTCTAGTGTATCATCAGGCAAGTGGCCTTGTTCTCAATGACACAGAATATGAATTAGAACAGTACAATTGCCAGTATGTCTTGTGTTTTCACTTTTATAGGAAACACTCATGCATACACTTACCTATGGTAACCAATAAGCATTAGCAGGTCTATTTATCTAGTCAGTTTAATTATTTAAGGCAGTATAAAAGCAAAATTCCATAATGATTAATCATAATAACCCCTTAAATTTGGTGCTTTATAATTTACAAAGAGATTCATATGCATTCTCTCATTTGATTCTCCAGAAACTATTGAGGATTAACAATCCTCATTTACAGATGATCTCTTGGAGTAGAGTCTTCTGGAGGAACCCCTGAGACTATGGTCCTCAGTCACCCTTCTAACTTGGATCTGAAGCCACTCCTGGAAATCACCTTTCAGCCAGATAAAAGGCCTGTAAAATGAACAATAACACCCATGAGGAAAGTGCTCCTTAGAACAATCAACTATACGAGACGAAAAGGGCAGCATTTGCCCAAAAGCAAAAATGAGAAGGAAGGAAGGGCAGGAAAACCTGATGAGTGGAAACGAGGAACTTGGAAAAGAAATGGGGAGAGTGCCAACACGTTGTGGGGATTGCAACCAATGACACGGAACACTTTGTGTATAAATTATTGAATGGAAAATTAATTTGCTCTGTAAACTTTCATCTAAAGCACAATAAAAAAAATCCACTCTTCTTTACCCATGCCTTCAAATTTATGAAATAATTCAGTCAGCAAACACTGGTTATGCACTTACTATGTACCAGACACGTTGCTAGGTGCTAGATCAGACACAAAGAAAGATAAATGTGGATCTTAAATTTCTCCATGGTTATAAAGGTCATGGAAGTCATAGAAAGCATGGATCTTTGAAAACCAAAGGATGATGTTAGCATGGAAAACTTCACCACAGATACTAAGACCAGAATTTTAAAAAAATTGAGTTTAGCTCTTTGGCTTCCACTTTTTGATGGAGGTACAAAGAAGTAGTAAGATTATCGAAAGCCAGATAAAGCAACAAGCTTGAAAATTCTCCTGGAATAATTGAGATGACTATAAACTTCATTTTAAGTTCTGAACTCTAAATTTTAGATGATCCCTAAAAATTATGGAAATCAGCAAACCAATTAATTACGTGTGTTAATAAGTATCCTTTACTTTACAAAATGCTTTTATACAGGTTATCTAATTTGACACTGTGGTGTAGTTAGGCCCAATATTATTATTCCTGCTTTACAGATGAGCAAACTGAGACTTAGGAGCCTTGTTTAAAGTCACATTGTAAGTAGAAGAGTTAGGTAAAGACAAAAGAGAATGAATATTAAACCCCAATTTTCTATGCAGTATGCTTGGTGTTCAGTTGTAGAATTCTGGTCTTCCATGAGGGAAGTCAGTTTTGATTCCTGGCTAATGCAACTCATGCATAGCTACCACTTGTCTGTCAGTGGAGGCACTTGTATTATTATGATGCTGAATAGGTTTTACTGGAGATTCCAGACTAAGATGGACTAGGAAGAAAGGCCTGGCGATCTACTTCCAGAAATCAGCCAATGAAAGCCCCATGCATCACAACGGTCTGATCTGCAAACAATCATGGGGATGGTGCAGGACCAAGCAGGGTTTCATTCTGTTGTGCATAGGGTTGCCGTGAGTCGGGGTGCCAACTTGACAGCAACTAACAACAACAACAACATAGTTTAATGATCTCATTTAAGCCTTTAAACAACCTTAGGAGGTAGAGCCTGTTGTTATCCCCATTTTAACAGATGAGAAAACTGAGACTTAGCGAAATTAAGTAATTTGATAATGTCACACAGGCATTAAGTGCAGGAGCAGGGATTTGAACCCAAGTCTAATCCGGTGAATCTGGCTGTTTCAATAACCCAGGTCCTCAAATTAGTGCAAGTTATATTCCTTTACTGTATACCACACTTCATACTTCTACTAGATGGTGTCTCACCTGCAATACCTGATTAAATCCATGAACCAAAAATTGTACAATATGACTGAGCTGGGGAATCCTGATATCATTTTCTGTTGATGTTTAATTCTCTAATGAGCTCTTTGGCAATCCTTTTGTGCCCTAAACTCCCAGAATTCCTTAATTTAAGCTGACTTTGCTGATGCTTAAGCCACTGCACTGTAATTTTAAATTTCTTATGAGCAAAAATCTATTAATTAAAAAGGTAGCCAATGCTTTGAATAAATACTGTGATTTGCTTTTCTTTCCAAATGAACATCTGTATCATCTTTCAGATATATACCTTACCTTGATTCTGTGGCTTCCAATGATCTCAACATGTATATTCAAATGTGTGTCTTATCTTCTTTATTGTTTACTTCCTCTGTTTTCAAAATATTTAATAACTTTTTAAATATATATTTCCAACCTTTTCAAGTTAGTTGTGAATGCAAAGCCTCCCCTGTGTATCCTAAACAATTCCTGATAAGGTGTGTGGTACAAGGCAGGCAGATCTTGTATAAAAGAATATATCTTCTGTTGTTATTGGGTGACATTGGGCATAGCAACCCCACATAACAGAGTAGAACTAGCCCCATAGTGGTTTCTTGGCTGTAGTCTTTACAGAAGCAGATCACCAGGTCTTTCTTCCATAAACCTTCTGGGTGGGTTCGAACAGCCAACCTTTTGGTTAGCAGTCAAGCTGCTTAACCATTACACCACCAGGGCTCCTTATACCTTGTGTAAAAGATATAAAAGATAACCTGTAAAATATGTGTACACCAATGTTCATTGCAGTATATTCACAATAGTCAAAAGATGGAAACAATTTCATGTCCACTAACAGATGAATGGATGAACAATATGTGATGTATACATACAATGGGATCTTATGCAGCCATAAAGAAAAATGAAATTCTTTTATGGCATGGATGAACTTTCAAAACATTGTGATGAGTGAAATAAGTCAGACACAAAAGGACAAATATTGTATGGTCCTACTTACATGAAATATCTAGAATAGGCAAATGCATAGAGATAAAAGTTTATTAATGGTTATCAGGGCCCAGGGGGAGGAGGGAGTGGGAGTTATAGCTGAAGGGGTACTGAGTTTCTGTTTGGGGTGATGTAAAACTTTTGGAAATGGATAGTGGTGATGGTGGCACTACATGGTGAAAGTAATTAATGTCATCAAATTGTATGCTTAGAAAAGGTTAAAATGGCAACTTTTTGTTATATATATTTTTACAAAGAGAAAATTTAAAAAAAGATAACCTGCAAAATTGATATATAAAGAACTGAGGTGTGATGGCTTCTGTCTACTACTGATCAGTCTTCCTCACTTCCTCCTGCGTGCAACTCTTAAGTAATCAATAAAAGCCATATTTCAAAACCAAAGAGAGAGACATTCTGATGAACCCTGCTACAGGCTTAACAGAGCAGAGAATAAGGCAAGGAATGAG